CTGTAAATTTAAAGAGGACCTTCCCTTCCGGTAAATTACAGCTTTCTTTTGGCTTTAAGGCCAGTCTGCAGCTCATGTTTTCATACAGTCTGAGTTGCTCGTGTTTGGCTTTTCTGAGGCACTGACTGCGGAGAAGGTTAAGCAGTTTAGTGGTTGAATCGCTGGTACAAAAACAAACCTAGAGATTTCTGATCCAGAACACACACCAAAACAACATGCTATAGAGAAACAGCCCAGCTGGAGCCAAGTATACATGCTATTGCATTACACCCCGCCAATGTTTATTTACAAAGCAAGCCAAGTAGGACTGCCATCCCTCCTGGTTTCCTTAAACGTGTACTTTTTGTGCCCAGAAATTGTCCTTGGATCAGGATTTTGGTGGGAGGGGGCTGTAAAGCAGCCATGCATACAGGACCTGTGGACAGCAGGCTTCTCCAGCACATCTACCAAGAGCTGAAACGCAGGTGTGCATGAGAGGGCTTGTCCACAGCTGCTGTGGGCTCTGAGATACCTGAGACAACAATGGATTTCTGCACCTGCGCTGTGGCTTTCGTCCCAGAGAGCACACCCATCATCCCACCCAGGGACCTCAGTTGTCACCACAGAAGAAAACATATTTCCAGGGACTCTGCAGCTTCACACAGCCACTATGCACACCACAGTCCACAAGACACAGCACTGCACTGATCTGGACCAGCAGCCCCTGAGATCTATGGAAGCAATTTCCAAATTTTGAACTGGACTGGTCCAAGGATTGTGAACACTAGCAAGGGGAGGAAAGTGGTTCCCCTAAAGGCTGGGGAACTTGATATCAGTACCTGGAGCTGCATACCAAAGCCTCTGCTAGCTTTTTACAGTTTCACAAAAGCCTGAATTTTTCTGCCCTCCACACCCACCTTATTAGGAAAGAAGCACATCCCCCCCCCCCTCCCCCCAAGAGAAGAGATGGTTTAATTCTCACTTCAGCAGGGCTATACAGGCCACAACACAAAGCAGGTGAAAACCCTTCACTTTATAAAAATGCCTCTGTATCCTCTAAGACTTGAAACAGGCTGTATGCTAATAACAGTTTTCCAAAACTCCACTGACATTCATTTGCACTATTTGTCCAAGAGCTCAAAGTCCTCTGCTTCCAGGGCAACAGGTTCCTAATTACCTATGTTACAGCATCATCACTGACAGATTAACAAAGCATTAGGAGGTGAGCGAGGCCATGTTGCAGACCGAGAGGTGACAATTCACCGAGTGTGGCCAGGGAGCCAAGGATGTCTGCGAGGTTCCCCACAAGCTCACAGCCACACAAGGTCCAGCTGCAGCATACTAAACACACACATGGCACAGCAGCTCACTTCATCATATAAGCCCTGATGCAGCCCCAAGGCATAAAGCCACAAAGAGTAATTACAAAGAGAACTATTTTTAAGACATGTAGCAAAGGTTTAGCGGGGTTTCTTTGTTATCCCCCCTCCTCTCTTTACAGCAAAGGCACTGGGGAGTCAGCCAGGTTCCCAGTCCCCCGACCTGTCCAAGTAAAAGCCTGTCCTAGGCAGGAGGGCTCAGGAAAGGCAGGGCAGGGCAGGCTAGCCCTTGCTTCGTCTCTGCCCAGCAAACCCAGGGAGACACAGCCTTGCTGACATCCCACTGCTGGCGTTGGTACCTGCAGTGGTGCCAGCCCCACAGCCGGGAGCACAAGATGCTGCTTCCATCCTGCTCCAGTGGCCTTGGCAACCACAGCTCCCTGGGCAGGGCTGGGAGGGGTTGTAAACAGGCTGGTACCAGCGCCTCGGACAAGGAGCAGCTCACGGCCAGCTGCTGCCCTCCTGGAAGAGATAGGGAGGCTTCCTTAAGGGGCTGAATACCTTAAGGCTAGGTTCAGCAGGTTTCCTTAATGAGAATGCTGCTTCAAGATACATCACTGGAAGACCTTTGCAGCTGTGTGTGCTTTGGGGAAAGGACCTGACTTGAGCCTTGCCCAGCTGGCCTGCTGTGGCAATCCCCAATTAGGTGTCACGGCTCATCCTCCACTCATCTGGCTCACTTGACTCATGAGAGAGCTGACCCCCTCTTCACCCAGCGCTTGCTTTTTCCAGTACTGGTGTACTTGCTGGCCCATGTATAAAAGCAATGTTAACAGAAATCCACTTTTGCAAAATCTGAGGGGTTTCCACTGCTACAGCTGCTGCAGAAAAGCCTCTGCACCTCACATGCAAGAGCTTTTACACTCTAGAAATCAGTGATAGCCCACAATAGTATATGTTTTTCCTCTAAGCATGACATTTACCTGAATAAACAACCACCCATACCCGCCTGGCCACATCCCCACAATTAGTATTTGTAAGGGAAGCTGGGATTTTTAGGGACAATTTCTTTCTGCTTCTGTACCCCCAGAAAGTACTCTAGTGTACATATCACTCTTCACTTGTGTTCACTCACTTACAGGGGGATGAGAGACCCTAAGGAGCTTCAGCAACAGCCTCTGCTATTCCTACATGAAGAAACGCCTGATGTTAAATCACTGCTGCCTTTCAGTAAAAAAACCATAACAACACAGGGGAACAGGAAGTAAATGCATATATATTAAAGGTCTAAATTAAAGTTTTCCCTGAAAATACACAGCTCAGCAGAGCCAAAGACCAAAGAGCCACAGAAGAACACCTCCCAGGCCTGGTGGCCACCTCTAGCCCAGCTGTAAGCTTGCTGTGGGTGTTGCCATGCGAGGGGTGGCAGTGAGCCACCCTGCCAGAGCTCATCAGCCCAGCCTTCACTGCAAGGAAATACCAGCTCCCCACTTTGCTCCAATACTTCAGGAAAATCCTTTCCATGGGAAACTTGGAGTTTGTCTGTTCAGTGGCCACTTATGCTATTTGGCAAGGGAGTTTTGGAAGAGCAGAGCCAGGCACCTTGGTGGTGGTGAGGAGGGGGCTTGGGGTGAGCATCCCAAAATGCCACATGCCTGAGGATGTAGAGCCAGGGTCACCGCGCAAAAATTCCAGGTGCTTTAACAGCAGCTGTGCAAGGAGGTAGTGCTGTTTTATAAATGTATGCCGTTTATACCTGAACTAGCCAGTTTTATACCTGACCTTGCCATTCAGGCAGGGTTCCGTGGGAGCTCTGGAAAGCAGAGGGTCAAGATGGCAGCAGTGCCCATCCTGACACCAAGCAGAGCTGGGCGTCATTCAACAGGCACAAAACGTTCCCAGCAAAAGACTTTTTATTCCACTAGATGGTGCCGAGAACTTGCTTATGGATGTTGCTCAATGGCGTGGACAAGGATGTGGTCAGGACCGGGTATGGAGGTGGCTGGGCACCATGCTGGGGTCCCCATGAGGCTGCAAACCTACCAGTCCCAGCCCTGCCAGCGGCGAGACCCCAGAACCAACCCCTTCGTTTGCCAGGCAACAGCATATGCCGAGCCCGAGCTCCCTGGAGCATCACCATGGTCCGTCAGACTTGGGGTGTGATGTGACGTGGCAATTCCTGGGGCAAGTCACCCAGCCCAGGCTGCCAGCAGCCTTGCAGCCCCTTCTGCTCTGAGCCGGGTGGGCCAGCACAGGAGGTCCCTGAGCCTTTGAAGGTCTTGTGCATGCTGCCCCACACCTGGGAAGCTGCAGTCTGCTTAAACCTCCATGTCCCCATGGCACTGGCACCAGCCTGCCTGGTGCAGCTCCCCTGGGGGCACCGGGGCCTCATGCCCTGGTGTGGAGCGTAGTGGCCACATGCACTTTTTGATCCTTACCGCTGGAGAGCATGAGCTCTAGCAAGGTACAGCCCCGACTGTTGGTGCTACTGATAGCACCAGTGAGATACACAGTGTTATCCTTGTACTGGTGCTCCCAGCATCAATCACCCATGCAGCGATCCACAGGAACCAAGTGGCCCAAAACAAGACCTGCCCCTTCCCTGTGTGCGGCTACACAGAGGGCAGGGGAGCAGGCGCTCTGTGGGTACATTGCTGTCATCGTAGCAGCTCCCCCCCGCCTCCCCTCATGGGCACAGCGCCGGCAGGGAGTCCCTTCCCGAGTGTGGCACCTCTCCCTGCGAGGCACGATGCCGCTCCCACTGTGCCGTTTGATCTGGCATGCTGCTGAGCATGCCTGTTTTAGGCAGCTTCTCGGACAGAAAAGGCAACCTGCAATTGCATAAACAGTGATTAACTTTGGGCACCACCGGCGGCACGGCTCCAGCGTGTCAAAGCCCAGGCTGGCTTGCGTGCAGGGGACAGTGGTGGGAATGGCGGTGGCACAGCCAGGGTGTTGTGGTGCTGCTGGGAGGGCAGTGGGACTGGCAAGCTTGCTGGCAGTGTGCCGGAGGGTGTGATGGGGATTTCTCACTGCAGGAGATGGACGAGCCAATGTGCGTGATGCTCTGTGGGGCTCCCCAGCAACAACAAACTGCTCAGGAAGGCGGGTAGCCCTGGGCAGGAGGCAGTGGAGTTTGGTACCCCAAGGGAGGGAAGTGCAGGACCAGTTGCCCAAATTGCAGCCCCAGAGGTGATGACTGGGCCAGGGATGTGCTGGGGCACCAGCCACCCCACAGCACACTGCTTGTGGCAAAGCAGCTGCCTGAAGTCCTGCGGCAAACAACAAAGTCAGCAGAGCCTTAGGTACAGAAATGCTTTTATTTCTCCATTAGGCTGGAAGTGAAACTGTGATGACAGAGGCTTTTTCCCACCCTTTATTTACTCGCTTCGCATCAGTGCACAAACAACGCTACCCTATGCCGTGTAGCACAATTGCCATTACATGGCTGTCTAGCACAGCAAACCCATGTATCGCTGTAACAGCGCTGGATGCAGCCCCCTCAAATTAACAGCAGGATTGCATGAACCAGTGATTTTTGGCTCCTGGGCTGCGAAGCACCATGCAACCCCAGCAATGTGCAGGGTGCCTCTCACCCAGGCAAGAGCAGCGCCTGCAGCAGGGATGCTGGGGGGGGACACAACATGTGGGACCCCCCCAACTCCACTGCTGGAGCCTGCCGTGGTGGATACTGGCAGTCCCTCAGAGGGCCCCCTGGCTCCAGTGGCCATGGGGGTGCCCTGGGGCTCCCCACCCCGAGGGCCGCAGCCCCGTCTGTCGGCTGTCGCTGTGGCTGCCCTGCTCCCCCTCGGAGGACTGGCTGCTGTCGGCACTCCCGAGGCTGGTGTAGGAGCCACGGGGGCCGCCCCCCGCCCCACCAAGGGCATAAAAGGCCCGCTCGCGGACGTGGAGCTCGTCGGCACGCTTCACCTGGTCCACCTGCCTGCTGTGGCCCAGCGCCGCAAATGCCCCCGGTGCCCCGGACCCTGGTCTCCTGCCATGGTGCCTGGGGAGGTGGCCCCTCCGGGCCCCCAACACCGTCGCCTCATCACCTCGCCCTCGCTCCTGGCCTTTGACCGCTGCCGTGCTGCCCCTGGCTTGCCCTGCCGGCGGAGGGGGACTGCCCCCTGCTTCAGTGGTGCGCGGCCTGCCCCCGGCATCACCGTCACGGCCGTCAGCCCTTATCTGGGCTCCACTTGACACCCGGCTAATGGCTTTTGTGCGTGGGGACAGCGCTTTGTCCATCCTGGGTGTCTTGTCCAGCCCTGCTCCCCCAGGCCGGACCCTCACCCCCACCCTGGGCCATCCCTCCCCATGGGGCTGGGGGGTGGCTGGCCCCACTTCCCCGCTCCCCCCTCTCCCTGCTATGGTGCTCTCGCCTGCCGTGCGGCCACCGGCCATCTCCACAGCAGTGGTGCAGTCCCCCTCGCTCACCCCAGGGGAGGCCACGGTGGTGCCCAGGCGGATGCTGGCCCCCTCGGCTGGGACAGCGGCAGTGGCCTCCTTGTCACCCACCTGGCGGGGGGTGGTGACACCCAGGTGGCCCGGCCTCCTGTCGAACCTCTGCCCCTCACCTTTTGCCTCATCATCACTGTTCCCATGGATGCCAGCCTCCTCGGGGATGGTAGTGACACCATCAGCGACCCTCCAGGGGCTGGGGGCCCCTTGTCCTTCTTCATCACCAACGGCGGTGGCAGCTTCCTCGTCATCTCCTGTGGGATGGCCATCCCCAGGTCTGCTGGTGACACTGTCCACATGGCTCAGCGTGGCTGTGGTAGTCAATTCTTCAGGCTGCCTGCGAGCAGGGATGCCATCATCATCATCACTGTCGTGTGCAGCAGTGACACCCAGCCTGGGCAGGGGGCTGCTGGTTCCCACAGCAGGCATGCCATCATCCTTGCTTCCTACAGTGGCACCAGCCTGGGTGGCTTCTTGCTCCCCTACATGGATGTTGGCCCTCCCAATGAAGATGTTGACTTTGTCATCCTTGTCTGGAGAGATTTGGGTGAATCTGGTGGCCCTCACTGTGCTGCCCACCTTCCCGTGGGTGACGGTGACGCTGCCCGAGTCTGGGATGTAAGCGTATTCATCCACACCTTCAGCATCAACTTGAACATCCTCCATCTTCTCAGTTACAGAGGCAAGAGTAGCGCCTCGTGTCCCTGTGCCCCGCATGATCCCCTCCTGCCCTTGGCCAGGGATGGTGGCCTCACCACTGCCCTCATCATCCCCAGCCCCTCCGGTGGCAGGGGCCCTCTCCCTCCCAGCTGTCATGGCCCCCTCCACTGGAACCCCACTGGGGGCACCATCATCCCTGTCCTCACTCCTGACAGTGGAGATGTTCCCTGCCACGGCCTCTCTGGGGCGTCCACCCTGGGGGAGAATGGAAACACCACCATCAACTTCAACCACCAAATCCAGGTCGCCACTGCCCTCTGAGCTGGCCGAGGTGGGACCCACGACACCGACACCACCACGCGCTCGCGTGCCGGTGCCTGGGCGAGGACTGTGAGCATCCCTGCCAGTGCCTGGGGCACTGCGGTTTTCGGGCTTGAGGCCAGTCCCGTTCTCCACTGTATCAGTGCTGCTGTTGTCACCTTGCTCCGGGGCCACCCGGTCCTCCGTTGGCCCCTGCCTGGCTTTGTCGTCACCCAGCTGGCGGCCGGGGGCAGCACTCTGGCTGTCGGCCTCTTCCTTCTGTGCAGTACACACAAGGGAGAGGTCAGGCCCAGCCCCAGCACCTCCTGGCTGCGTGGGGTGCCGCAGCCAAGCCAGGGTCCTGCTGTGCTACCTGGCCACCTCCTCACCTTTATCTGTGTCTGGTTCCTCCGTGTCGAAAATGAGTAGACATATTTGAAAACGTAGAAGCCGTGCTTGGCATTGCAGCCTTTCAGCAGTATCTGGTGGGGAAGAAAATACCCAAACCCTACAATTTTCTTATTAAATGTGACAGTAGGAGCTTCCCTTGCTGTGCCTGGCACTGCAGCAGGGTCCCACAAGCACCCGCTGGGGCCCCAGGGTGGGTGGTAGCTCCCACCACCTTGTGGCCGACAGCATAGGCAGGGACCTGGGCAGGACGTGTGTGCTCGCCTCCTGGGCTCCAGGGTTTGGTTTTTCCTTGGGGTCATTTTCTGCCTTTGCTTGCTTTCAGGAGCTGTAGGGGGTTTTTTTGCAAGGTAGCTTATGACTTGAATAAACAATCTGGTTGATGGTCCCATCAGACATGAGTGATGGGACTGAAGGTGACCTAAGCACTGGAAGGACAGCAGCTGGCTTCCAATAGGCAAAACCAGGCATTTTCTTCCACATTACTCATCTGAATTTTGCTGCTGATGTATTTTATACTGATACACTTTGAAAAAAACCAGTAGCAGCTGGGCCTGGGACTTTTACAACCTTACCTGTGGATATACCAAGCATTTGTGTTCTGGGGCTGGACAGGGGCAGAGGAGCAGCTGGTGGGGGGGAGCCTTTCCCTTCCCTCAGCACATCGCACCTTTGCTCTCCCCTGCTCTTTGTAAGGGCTGCTCAGGTGCGAGGGGACCACTGGTCTTTTTCTGCAGCTCACTGGGCCTTCCCTCCAGAAGCGGCTTTTTCTCCCTGCGCCCCCAGTGCAGGGCACCCCACGGGGTCTGGATGGGGCAGGGGGGGACATACCCGGTGCTGTCCCACACAGTTCCCGGCAGCTCTCCCAGGCAGCGGCGGTGGCACCTGCGGGCAGCAAAACACAAGCGAGAGACGAGGTGTCAAATGCTGCTCCAGCATCCAGGCACCTGCCAATGCCCGCTGCCAGCCACCCACCCTGCCCAGTGTGATGGGCACGCCATGATGTCCAGGGAACGGTGGGAAAACTGTGTTGATAAGCCAATAAATTGCCAGGTGCTACCTCGGGTGCTGGCTTAAAGCCAGCAATAGTAGGAAAGGTCAAAACCCCATTTCCAGGGTCTGAAAAGTATTACTTGCATTGCATGCTACTTTTAATAGGATATTGTTTGTTTGCAAATACCCTTTTACTGGATTCTGCTGCAGAGTATTTTCATTGCAGAGCAGTTTTAATACATGGCACCACTGCTCATACCACAATGCTCCAACTTACGGTTGAGATCTGACTGTGATGGGAGCCAGGACCTGGTTAACTTGTGGTGATTCCCAGTGTTTACTGGGCAAGTGAGCAGCAACACCTGTGCCCTCACAGCCAGGTTTTTGTACATGCTTGCAAGCTTTCAGCTTCCCCCAGTTATCCTGTCATCTTTTGGGATGTATTGGCCAGTGCATCCATCAGGGATGGGGGACCTGGAGGTGGGAGCATCCTGTGAGACCCACCAAACCATTTCAGGGCATTCCTTATGTGCCAGAGGGGCAGAGAGCTCCATGGAGGGGAGCCCCCTCAAGTCTCAGCAAAATCAGCCACTGAAGCACCCCAAGCCCAGATGAAAGGGGCAGAAACATGCCCCAGAGTATTAAATATTCCTGGGCTATTCCATTGTTTGTGAACAATGTCAAAGGCTGGATTACCGCCCTGGTTATGCAGCAGAGTATTAACCGGCTCTCTTCTGTGCCTCTATCTGAAAAGCAAATCTGGGCTGATTTATTGCCTTTCCCTGTGCTGCCCTGCGACAGATCTGGTTGTGCAAGCTTGTCTTGGGGGCTAAAGGACGCTCGGCTGGGGCCCAGCCCTCGGGGAAGATGTAGTTTGCCTCCTCCTTACCCTGCTGGAAAAGCAAGCCTTTGCTAGGAGCAGATTTTCACTCTAGCTGTATATTTAGTATGTTGGGCAGGAGTTATGCAGGACAAAAATTGCTGCTATTATATTTATCTTAGTTTGCCCTTTGTTTCAGTTATATCTGTCCAAATTTCGTATTAGGAGAGCTGGAATATAATTGCAGGCACCCCTCTGACCCCCTGTTACCCATGTGGATAAGGCAAGCATCCTCCCTACGCCTCCCTTCTTGTGGCTCTGCTCAGGCTGTTCCCAGGCCAAAAGCTCTGGGCAGATTCCAAATCTGCAGAAATCAAGGGGAAGAGTTACAGTGACCCAGACCAGCCCTTGCACAATGCCCTAACTGCTAAATTAAAGCGACATGATCAGGCACCTCAGTGCTAATCTATATTTTTCCTGCGGGGTTCACCTCTGTGCCAGCACCTCAAAACCTCCACCAAGCCCCAGAGGTGCTACATGCAAGTACAGCTCATGTTTTCCTGCTGCTGAAAGCATGCTGGGGCACACTTTCGGTGGCACGCTGGGAAGCCGGGGAGAGCCATACTCACGGGTGTTGAGAGGGCCGTGCTGAGCAGGCACAGGCACAGGCACACAAGGGCTGTTTGCATCTTGGGCAGCTCCTGGGGGCACAAAGCGAAGTGTCACTGGAGTTTGTCTTCCCAGGACTTGCAGTCCCCAACAGTCCCAGACAGCAGCAACCCAAAAACTCCTGCTGTCCCAAAGCCCCCATGGCAGCGGGGTTATCCAGCAACCCCATCTTTCCCCAGCCTCTGAGGTGGCCCTCGGCATCACTCTGCCTCTCTGCACTCCTCACAGCAAAGGCGATGCTCTCGTCATGTGCGTGCAGTGGTGAGGCAAGGACAGGCACAGCCAGCAGCACCGAGTGGGTGCTCCGGCACCAGGTGTTAAAGCTTCTTAACTCATACCATCAAAGCAGCTTAGGTGGATATTTGCAATAAATGACCACCAACACCACTGCAGGCTTAGCCATACATTCGTAAGTCTGAGTTAAGAAACTTGCGTGCTGCTTTCAATAGCACTGATAAATGGCAGGAGACAATAGTTCTTTTGGCTACTAATTCTCACATCATCCATCCACCCTGGCTTGGGCTCGCAGGTCTGGCAGGAGACTATTTTCAGCCATGCAAGTGTTGCTCCAGAAAACATTGGGAGGAAATTCATGCACAAGGATCAGCGATACAAAGCAAGGTAGGCTCAAGAGAGTGCAATGCAGAGATGCACACAGCCGAGGCTCGGGCTGTCTCCCCGTGCCCACCGCAGCTTGCCCAGAGTGAAAGCAGGAGATGCCTTGCTCAGGGAGGGCAGAGCCAAAGGGCTGGGGAGAGACAGGGCAGGCAAACTAGGTAAGAAGATTACCTTTCGCTGTCGGAGACAGGTCCCAGCAGCAGACCATGGAGGCTGTGCCCACTTTGCTGAAATTTAAAGTTGGCCCCAGGCATGCAGAGCCAATCAGCTCCTGCCCAGGAACATTTGTCAGGGCTGGCAGTGCCCGCAGATAACCAGGGGGAGTAATTTCCAGCTAAAAATGTGTTTGTGGTGGAAGACAGCTATCAAATGTTCCACCTGGTTGGATAAACAGAAAGCACAGTTTATAAATATCTGTTCTGAAGGCGAAATTGCTCGATGATTAACACAGATCTTAGCATGGAACACATCCAGCCTGGTTATTGATAAGAGGGGATGCAGTGGGTCGTAACATGCTCTCCGTGACTGATATGGGAAAGCTGGCAGGGCTGCAGAAAGGGAAGGCTGATACACTGAGCCCAGCCCGGTTGCAGCCATGACCGCTCCACGGGGCAGTGATGGCCAAGTTGAGAGCCACCACCACGCCATAGCCTCCGACACTTGCTTTTTGGGTTTCAACCTCAACCCCCCTGAGGTAAGACCAGTGCAAGTCCAAAATAGAAGAGTAGTAAAAAAGAAAAAAAGAAAGATTTGTTTCCTGCACTGCTTGCACAGGTCCCTTTGAGCCCACCTTTGCTGTGGGAAGGTGCTACGAGGATGTGCACACCATACGTACGTGCTCTCCTCCTGACCCCTCTAGCTTTGCTGGTATTGCTGGTCGCCTACGTGAATGCTGAGGGGGGTTCCCCCTGCTGTGGCTAGCCTGGCTCAGCTGCTCACTGTGGTGGTGGTGACAAGACCTCCCATCCCACCTGCCACCCTGCCCCGACCCAAACCCTGGGAGCAAGCATGACCTCTGCATTAACGCCAGAAATGCTTAAACCATCAGCATCCAGCCTCAGGCAGGAGCAAATCTCAGAGCCAGGAGGAAACTTGACCTCTCCCACCAGCCAGGGAGCCATGGTTGGATACTGCCCCACAGGTACTGGAGCAACCAGCCGGTGCCTCTTGGCTCAGGGAGGCAGAGTTTTGGCTGGATGCCTGGGGGGGCTGACGCACATGGGACCGGGCTGGGTGCCCTGTGGGAGTGGGACCCAGCCCCTGGCAGCACCAGGGCCCTTTGTCCATGCTGCTTCCCTGACGTCTTTGGACACCCCCTGGGGATGTGGACGATGAGGCTCTCGTGTGTCCCCCACCAGCTGCGAGCATGTGCAGGGCACCCCAGTGCCACTGGAGGGATTTGGCCCCACGGGTGCCCACCCTGCAGGCAGCACCCCCTGCCACCCCAGCAGCTGCAGCCCAGCTTTGGCACACAGAGGCGGTTTTGTACAGTGGCCAGCAGCTTGCTGCCGCAAGAATAGAAACTTGTTTTGCAGTTGGACCTATACTGGGAGCTGAACACAAGTTTCCTTTCCAGCAGTGCAAGGGCAGTGCGGTACCTGCCGTAAGCCATGCATGAGGGCCATTGCTTTTCCTAAATGGCAGCAACTGCCTGGAACCCAACGGGATTTTGTCCTTCCCGGTCTGTGGTGCTGATCCCCAGTTGGCCAGGGCCACAGTCATATGGGAAGGTGATTCTGGGCAGGGATCCTGGGGACCACAAGCCAAGCATCCCCATCCCTTACACAGGAGGTGAGTGGATGCACTGCTCTCACTGTGACAGCCCTACCTTACCCTGGGGATGAGGCTGTGTGGCAGGGAGAGTCATGGACCATTTTGGGCTGCAGCACCAGTGTCTGAAACCCATCCAAGGTGCCCAGCCTCGGTGGGACCCACATGCCTGGTGCAGGGATGCAGAAGAAAAGCTGTCATTACAGCAGTGTGCATCTACAGCTAGTGATGCACGGAAAGAGAAATTAATGTCTTTATTAATATTGCCTGGTGTGTGGTCAGGCCATGGGAGACATGCTACTGAGGAGCGGAAGACATGGTAAAGTTATCGTCACCCACACATTGCAAATTCACATCAACTCTACAGCAGTAATCCCACAGCAGTGACCCTAAAAATGCCCTTCCATTTTTCGGAGAGGACTCTACAGAAGCTTTCCTAGTTAGCCTTTCTGTTCTTCCGCCCTTTTATGTGCATCTGAGCTAGAACAAAGAGATTTTACCCTGAGCAGCATGAGCACCCGTAGCCCCTCAGCCCACCAATTGCCATGCCACCCCGCTGACCCCAGCAAATTTGGCAGCAAACCCTTCGTCACCAATGAGCTCAGTTCAGTTGCTTTATTTCATTTAGCTTTGTGAGATACAAAAAAAAGCCTGGGACAGAGCCGGTGCATACCGCAAGCCTCCTGGTGTCCCCTCTGGCATGCAGCAGCTGCAGTGAGCCTTTGGATACATGTTCCTGAGTGGGATGGGGCAGTGATGATGCCCACTCACTGGCTGTAGTAATAATCCTGGCCGTACACATCATAGCCATGCCCCTTGTAGTAGCCATATTCATCCTCGTAGGCCCGGTAGCTGTCCCCACGGGTGTACTCATCCTGATCCCTGTAGCTGCCATCGGTGGTGCCCTCCTCCCCCCGTCTGTGGTCTGCAGCCGTCACCTCATACTCCCACTGCTCCCCAACTGTGGTGGCATCTGTGGGTCCCCCATCTCCCATGGTTGTTGCCTGGGACAGCCCGTCTTCACCAGTGGTGCTGGTGATGGTGGTCACTTCGGTTTCCTCCTCCTCCTCCTCCTCTTCCTCTTCTTCCTCCTCCTCTTCCTCCTCCTCCTCCTCAGCTGTGCCAGTGCTCTCCTCAGCCACCGCGGTGCCATTGCCGTGAGGTCCATCTGCCTTCTCAGTGGTGTTGGTGCTTGTGCCATTGATGCCATTCTCATTCTCGGCGACCTCTTCCTCCTCCTCCTCCTCCTCATTCTCATCGCTGTCTTCATTTTCAGAGTCACCCCCCTTGCCGGCAGTGCTGCTCCTGCCCCCCTTCAGGGGTCCTTGGCAGCTCTTGCCCTGGTGGGGGGAAAATAACACGGCATTAGTTGGGTGTCAGGAGGTTGTAGCTTTTCAGTGCCACGTGGTGTGGGGCAGGCATGGGCACAGCTGAGCATCCCCCCCATGCCTTGCATGGCAAGGCTGCCTTTTTGGGGTGCCCCTTCTGACCCTCCTGCCGGGTTAATGCCCAGAGCTTGGCCCAGCTGTGGGCATATTGCGCAGCAGCCCCCCCATGCAGAAACAGGGTGCAGGGCATCCCATGGGTGCAAGTGGGCATGCAGTGAACATACCCTCCCCCCGGGTGCTCCCCTCCAGCTCCCCAAACCACACCTGCTGGGGAGAAATGATGTCTCCTCCCAGCCTGCCCTGGCTGTCCCCAGGGCCTGCTCCGGCAGGGTGGCCAGCTGCCTCCATGCCAGCATGGGATGGCTCCTGCTGGGACAGGGAGAGGACAGGGCAGGTGGTCAGCAGCAGGAGTGGAGCGCAGCCCTCCCAGCAGTGAGGGGGGCACACAGCATCCCCACGCAGTGTTTGGGTGCTGCTCTGAGTTTCCTGCTTTCCCACGGGTCTCGCCCCAGGCTGAACTTGAGAAGATGCAGCAGGGCAGCCCAAGCCTTGCAATTAAGTTGTGGTGGCTGGAGTCGGGTGTTCCCATTCTGGCTACACATTTTGCTTTACAAAGCATCTAAAGGTTTGCTTTTGAAGTTACCTCTCCCAGTTTCCAATAAACAAAGCAAGCCACAGGCACACTACATGCAGACACACTACGCACCAGGTGTAGATAGCTGGCAAGAGCGTGACAGCTCAAAGCCAGGCATGAGCCCAAACCCTACCAGCAATAAGCCATCAGCACCACTCGGCCCCAGAGACCATGCAGCAGAGTGGGTCTCTTAGCAGGGTGCAGAGCAGTCCCTGCTGCTAAAAAAAAGCAATGAATAACCCAAATGCAATCAGAGCCTGGAGCAACCACTGAAGAACTGGTGGGGCAGCTCACCCTGTCCCCAGCCTGGGAGGAGGAGAACCTTGCCACCGGCAAAGGAACCCAGCCGTGGCAGGGAGATGCAGGGTCACTGCCATCCCTGCCCTGGGCAATCCCCGCTGCTTGTGTGCCAAGACCAAGGATGCTCACCCTGGCGTTTTGAGCCAGCTCAGACACTTAAAATATGGGTGCATATGATGCCAGAGAAAACCCAGGTTGTTTTCGTCTCCAGTGGAGGAGCCACCAAATTGCATGGTGTAGCTGGCTGTGCCAATGGGAGCGATGCCCCCCCACCTAGCAGCCGATATAACAGTGCTTTTTACATACCTATAACTGACCTTGGGGCCTTTCATCACAATTTATCTTGCTGACCACCCCCTGCCAGTGAAGGCATGCAGCATCCCTGCCCAGGAATGGCCACTGCTCTGGTGGTCTTGAAGCAAAAGGGGCAGCCCCAAACAGCAGCTGCATTCCTGCATGTCACTTAATTTCTCCCTTGGGAATGAAATTCCTCCTTTGGCTGTCTCATCCCACTACTCAAAGTTATCCCTAGTGATCGCAGTGGTAGGGGAGAACAACAGGCAGAAAGCGGCAAATTGCAGGGAAGTGCCAGGGCTGGCAGAGGCACCTGGGGGACAAGGCCACCTTGTGCTGCATCCCAGCCCCAGGCGGGCCTCCAAAGGGGGTTTTAGGACCAGATGCCCAGGCTTACACTCCTGTTAAAAAGACCCCTGAAATTAGCATTTGAATCATTACATTTAAAAAAAAAAAAAAACGTGATCAGACCTGACACATAGGTTTCCAAGCATGCCAGATCCCTGTCTCGAAGCACCTGTGTGCCTGAGACCACTGGATTATTTTTGAGCATTTGCAGCCCGGTGAGGCACAAGAGATCTTCGTAATCCCTGGCATTTAATTTTGTATCTGGATGACTCTTGCAAAATGCAGCAGTGCCTGAGCTCCTGTTGACCCAGCAGACAGGAGCAGCATTACTGGCTGGGCTGGTACAAACATGCAATTCCCAGTATAGTGTCAGTTTGTGTCCCTCCACATGCACGTGTGCAGAGCATAACCGTATTTGCCATAGCAATTTTATCAGCACTCTGGAGGGAACGCACCCTGAAAGGGGAAGGTAAGAGGATTCCCTAACAGTGCCTTTTGCCTTGCAGGTGAGCACCCCTGCTTCTGCCCTTTGGACTGTCCTGCTCCTTCCTGAGCCACCTGAAAATGGAAACCCAGAAAGTTTGTCTCAGGGTTGTTTGGTGCATTCCCCGCCCATCCTCTTTAAAAAAAGAAGAAAAAGGAAAAAATACACAAAAAATAATAAAATAAAGCCCAGAGTAGAAAATCCAGTCACATCCAGAGTGCAAGGCTGTGGGCGGTCAGCGGCCACAAATGCTGATGAGCAGACACTACAAACCCAAAGAAAGTTCCCAAATTCCCATATTTGTTTTGCAGGCTGCTGGTTTGCCATACTCACCCCCCCTTCCTCCTCCTCCTCCGAGCCGTCCCCCTCTTCTTCTGATGAGTCAGTGCCCTAAGGAGAGGGAAAACCGAGCTGTAGCGGGGCTGGTGGGTCTCCATCGGTGTCATGAGCACAACGGTCTTAGCCCAGCCCTACAGGCCAGTGGCAGATGGGGCACAGAACATGCCTCTGTCTCATTTGGGCTGATATCTCTGCATCTGGTGGGCAGTGAAGCATCAGCAACCCTTCTGAAGCACCCACCTGGTACCGTTGCTGCAGGGGATGCACGTAGACATATCTGTACAGGTAATACCGGTGCCTGTTCTTGAACACCTACCAGGAGAAGAAGGGGGTAAATCCCACCAGCCTGTGGGCTTGGGTACAGGAGTGACTGAAACATCCTCGTCCTCAAGGCCAGCACTGGGTGGGGCTGGGCACGCGGGGTGGGGGGGAGACCCTACCGCGTTTTCGTCCGAGTCATCCGACTTGGCTCGCCACAGCCAGTTCTTGACCTGGGGGGAAAGGCTGAGTTGGCACGCACCCCACACCAGCCCCAGCGAGGCTGGGGGGTCCCCCCACTGCCCAGAACTCACCGAGAAGGCACACGCCATACCCACCAGGCAGGCAAAGACCAGGGCAGTCCTCATGGCTGCTTTCTCTAGGAACAGTGAAACACAGTGAGGCCTTGCTTTTCAGCTAGAAAGCACCGTCACTTCCCTGAATCTTACAGGTGTTTGTGTCCACCTGGGTGAGCGGGGAGGAGAAAGGCTGACCTCCAGTCTCCTCTCAGTGGGGTCACCCAACCCCTCTGGAGACCCAAGTCCTTCTTTTTTTTGACAGATCTGCCTCAATTTCCATGACTACATTTTGTGTTTGCAAGAAGCCACAAAATACCAGAAGAGCAAGTTTCACCCATGAGTGGACGCATTGCTTTCCCCGAGCAGGACTACTTGCCCCTACTTCCCCATCACCTGCAAGCAAGTGGGGACACCTCCCGTTGGAGATGCAACAGTGGCCACCCTCCCAGAGCCCTGCAACCTGCTCTGGCTCTGCCCAGGGAGCAACACCCCTGGGAATTACACCACGGAGAGTTTAACCTCATTGAGGAAAAACAAATAAGCAAACAAATAAATGAATATAACCAGCTTCTACAGTCTGCCATTGACAAAAATAGCAGCAAGTAATGCAAGGAGACCCCCGTAGGCATATCCAGTGGGGAGGCTTGGCTCTGGGCATGTCCAAGATGCACCCCCTAAGCACCAAAACTTGGCTTGCCCTCCTCCATCCCAGCCCCAGCAAGGAGCATGCCCGACCTTTCCTGCAGCGTCCCAGCTTCCCCCCAGGGAGGGATGCTCCTGGCATGCCCCCAGGCTCAGTCAAGCCTACTAATCTTCCTTCTTCCTACCCTTGTTCCAGCTAAACCCACCATCAGCTGTGCTGAGGTTTGGGGGGGAGTTATTATATTTATTTGCACTTGAAGTTTCTCCATCTTTGTTTAACTCAGGCTAGAAAACAACTGGCTACAAGCTAGCTTCCCTGGCCATGCAGCAAAGCTCTGGATGCTCATCCCCTCCATCTGAGTGCTTCATGAAGCCACAGACGCAGGAAAGGGCTAAAAGCAGCATCCAGCCCTGCCAGCAAGCTGAGCCCCCCATTCCCCTGCAAAAAGCAGATGGCAATGCACAACCTGGCTGGGAAAAGCAGCAGCAAGCTTACCCTGCCACAGCACCGATGGCTACCCGTGGAGTCAGCCGGCACAGATTTCCTCCTGCCGCTGCCCTGCTGGGATATAAGGTCTATTTTTGCCCCCTCCCAAGCCAGTCACCGCCCTGCCCAGAGTGACGCCAGCCCGACAGCGTGTGCCAGAAAACCCCCAAACTTCAACGCCGGCAGATTTGGTGCACAAACATAGCACCCCACGCCGCTGCCAAACCCGGGGAGGTTTGCACCACGCCACTTAATTGAGGGTCTGGCCTCAGAGGAACGGCCAGGAGGCCAGAGGGTATAATAACACTCTGGGTTTAAATTAAAATAAATATTGGGAAATCTGTTCTCGGGGGGTGTCTACCTCCCTTTTGGGGAAATTCTGTCACTGTTTTTTCAAGAAGACAAAAAAGACCAACCTCAAAGACCCAGCTCCACAGTCACTTGGGCATAGCCATTAGACAAAAAAAGGCTAAATCCAAACAAATCCCTCTACAGGCTGCCTGCAGAGGTGAAACGGGCCTTGGGAAGGGCAGGGAAAGAAAAGGGGACTCGGATACAGGTGTCACCAATCCTCCTTTGAGAGCCATTTCTGCCACAGCAATGCTACGAAATGCACATCTGCTTTGTTTCTCGTGCCCCCTGAACCACACAGACCCACACAGGGGCCGGGCCGGCCCCTCACTCTCCAAAATCAGGTATTGCCCAGCTGAAATCTGGCAGCTCTGTACACAACCCCAGCAAAGCAGAATAATTGCCTGGGGCAAAAAAAGGCAAAAACCCCACCCTCATGGTCATCCAAAGCTCAGCAGGGACCTTGGTGGCAGGATACAGCCAGTGGTCGGAGCCCACCCCTCTTGTCCTCCACCTGACAGCAGGGGATGGGGGCACACGGGTGCTGCAGCTGCCCCCCTACATGCGCCTCTGCAGGGACATCCTTTCTCCTTTCCCTATATTTATCATTTCCCACTGGGATTTCAGCTTCCCAGCTCCTCAGTGCACCTCTGCTCCCTCTTTCCCAGATTTTACTTACACTCATCAGCAAAGGCCCCTTGCCACTCTTGCGCGCGCCTGGGCTGCAGCAGCTCAGGGGACTGATTCTTCACCGAATGAAGCTTTAGTTTGCACAGGGGCGAGGAGAATTGCAAATCCCACCCGATGCAATCAGCTCTACAACCCTCAAAGAGGGAACAGCGGGGCTGGAAAATGCCTGCCTTCAAGTAGGTTGATGATACACAGGTTAGCCAGTGATAAAACTATGGTTATTTAGGGCAGAAAAATCTGCTTTGCAGTGAAAGACGTGAACGCTCATGTTTCTGCTCAAAACTGGGGGCTGCGCTTGTCGAAAGCCTCACCCACATCCAGGGGAGCCCAGTTTGAGCCTGAATTTGATTGGGAAGCAAAGGATTTCCAGTTAACCAAATTCCCAGGTTAGGACCAGAAAGACAAAGCTGTTTTTTATTGTTGTTATTTTGTCTTCTTGCTCATCACCACATCAACAGGTACTTTGTGGGGAGTTGCTAACTGCTGATGAAACACCATGCACATTGCATGCTTTTGGGGAGGTAGAGGTCCCTTGCAGCCCCCCAGGGGTCCAGCAGCCTTGGCAGCAATCTGGGCCGCGTCCCCGCCATGCAAACCCTGGGGCTGCACTGCGCAGCTGTGCCTGCCCCATGGGCTTCAAAGCCCGTTGTGTCACTGTGAGGAGCCATAATTACAAGGGAGGCCTGGAGCTGGCCGTGGCTTTCAGCTGGTGCCCCAGGCCAGGAAAACCCACACACACAAAAAAAAGAGAAAAGAAAAAAAAAAAAAAGGAAGCCATGCAGTTTTCCAATGCCAACACAGCAGCCTCCGGTAAAGAGAGACACCAGCATCGTGAGGGACCCGGCAGCCCCCAGCCCCATGGGGCTGGGGTGGCTGGAGGTGCTGCCGTGCTGGGGGGTGATACAGGGGGCACAGGACAGAGACAGCCCTGCTTCCCACTGCCCCACACCATCACGGGCTGCCCTGCACAGGAGAGCAGTGAGCATGTGCCTAGCTTTGAGCTTAAATTTCATCAGGGCTGAGGAACAGAGAGTGCTGGTGGGAGGCAATTTTTAATGTAATTAAAGGGCTTCTGCTCCAGGCTGCTTAAAAAAAGAAAACTGACTATAAAAATGCATATTTCACCCAAGATCCCTAAAAAGCACCAGGATAATTAACATGTGCCGAAGTGACTCGAGCAGCCGGCACCTATGTTTAGCTCCTGGGCCTGAGACCGGGTGCTGCCTGGGCAGGCCACCAGCACGGCAACCTCCCACCACCATGCAGGGACACCAGCAGGGAAGTCAGCCAAATGCATCCAAAATGTTTTCATTTAAAAAAAAAAAAAAAAAAAAAAAAAAAAAATTTAAAAGCATCACATCTCAGGGTTGGAGCATTGAGCTCTTAATGCTTTTGCAAGAACTCTGGCTCTCCAAGGCAGCAGGGCTTGGAGAGATCACCCATTTGCCCAAAGCAGTATTTGGTATCTGTTATTAAAAGTGATCTCAGGATCTGACAGCTTCATGAAAATAATCTCACCTTTGTAGATAAACAGTTGGAAACAAAACACGGAACAGCTCGCCTGCCTCCAGGGGATGTGCCAACAGGTGACAGCAGCAAAACCGCATTTTTCGGGAGTATGTTGAGGCGACGAGGCAGACATGCAGCACGCAGTCCACATGTGCAAATGCAATGGTTTCCCTTCTGCACTCTCATCAGTTTTTCAACTTGTACAAGTATGCTGCTGTGTTCCTCATTACATGCTTTGGTGAGTAAGCTGGGGGTTACGCAGGCAGCCCACTCCCCAGGCCCTGCATGGGCGCATCGCTGACCTTGCACAGCAGACAGTGATGAACAATCCCAGGCAGCTGCTGCTGCATTCAAGCCCTGCCGTCGATCCCATGACCTGCTGATGGGGTTTGCACCAACCGCTGGCACCAGCTTTGCACCGCAACTGGGTGGGCTTCCACCCAGTATGGCCCAGCAGGGGCACTGCATATGGTTTTGATGTAACTGCCCGAGCCCGTGAAGACTCATGGTCAGAGCGTCCCTGTCTGGTGCAGGCTGACACGGCTCCTGTGTCCAAATTTAATCATTATTTTGCAGGGTGGTAAATGAGCAGAGCAGCGTGCTCCGGTCCTGCCCGGGTCCACCACAGGGCCAAGGCTGTGGTCGGGGCTACACTGTCCTATTTCCACGCCCTGGAGCTATTCTTGAATGAAACCTCAGGGCCAAAAATAAGTAAAGAAAACAAAACCAGAAGGACACTTTGAGCATGGCGGGGAGAGGCCAAGGTGCTGCTGCAGGCAGGGAAAGGGGCACCCCTGCCATGCAGCACAGTGGCCAGGGCACCTTCGAAATGGCAGGGGGGAGGCACCAGAGGCAGAGCTTGGCCCGGCTCCCACATCTCCCTACATGCTGTCAGGGACAGGAGTGTGTGCGCCATGGCCACGAACTGGGGAGCAAAGTGATGAGCCAGGAGAGGGTGTTCCACCAACAGCATAAGACTAAAGGATCCATCTCCAATCCCTCTTACCTCTCACAGCACAAACCCAAATGCAAACCAACATCAGCTGGACATGCAGCTTGCTATTTTTTTGCAAGCAGTCAATTTTAGAATAAAAGCGGGAGGGGAGAACACCTAAAATGTGCCACATATCAACCTGTTATCAGTACACAACCTTTGTATATTGGCCGTCTGTAACTAAATGTTTCATATGATTTTCCTTTTTCTCTGAGGCAGGAAACCAGATAAAGGAAATTAATGCTATTTACATACCTGGCAAAACACGGGCCACGAGTAGGTCTGTTATGCCAGCACTTTGAGGCAGCACTCTGGGGAGCAGAAACCCAGCAAATCACTGAGGCAAGGTCACAGCATTATCACAAAACCCAGCACTCGCCGCCACCACCCAGATCC